TTTTCTTAAAACCGTAACAGGAACTTTTTGAATTAGAGTAAGTTCATGTGCAAGAAAACAAATAGGAGGGTTTGGGTTTGGGTTTGCGTTTTTTTTCAAAGACCTTTTATGAAATAGGTTCCCCACAAACTCTGTTTTGCCTCTGTTGCCTAAAACAGACAAAATAGACATATTTAGAAACTAACCAGGCTCTTTCTTTTACCTTAACCTAATTAATGGCCCTCTCATCTAATATAAAATGCTAAGTAGGGGTAGTTAGTAAAACTTCTATCCCATGGGAAGGGTTATTAAAATTTAAGAAATTCACAGAGTTCCCCTGGGGTAACTGAGAGTAGTGTCTTAGGTCACACTGTGTGAAGTTTATGTAGCTCTAGTCATGTTATCCTATTATAGAGAGCCTTGAAGAGTTGTTTCTGCAAAGGAGAAACTGAAATAGAATAACCGATCTCAAGAAATACAAAGATGTGGGAAGTGAGGGGAATATGACGAATTCTGTGCTATGGAAGAAGTCAGTCTAAAGAAGGGACCACGTGTTTGTCCTATTATCATCATCCACCTTGCTTAGAACAGTGCATGGCTTCCAGTTGAGGTTTTCATTCATTGCAGGAACCTGTTAGTGGAGATCAAGAATGAATGAATGCTCTTGTCATCATTTCTTTACTTGTGCACCAGTCTTATAATACTTTCCTCCAGTCTGAGGATTCTTCTGTCAGGCTCCCCTAGCATTCCCTAAGACCTTGGTTATTATATTCCCTTTTCTGTCTCCCCTGTCCCTGCCTTCCCTCCTCTAATGTTTTCTATTTCAGCCTATCTACACTAACACTTTTTCTCCAACCTTCATGCTTACACAACACCCCCCCAGCCCCCATCCATCCTATTTGTTATTCAGTCTGCTCTTCAACTTCTTCAGTAAGTGTTGCTTCCATTACTTTGTCATTCACTCTCTTCATAACCTTTACAAGCTCACTTTGGTCCCTGTCTTTCTACTAAGTGTTGTTCCATAGTTTCAGATCATCAAATCCAATGGCTTGTTCTCAAAACTTAGTCTTGATCTTGATAGAATTGGACACTGTTGACCATCCAAATAGAAATTCCCCTCTTGGTTTCTTTGACAAAGTGTCCTTATGTCAAGAACTCCTTTGTCACCCTAGCCGGTTTGGGTCAGTGGATAGAGCGTCAGCCCTCGGACTGAAGGGTCCCCGGGTTTGATTCTGGTCCAGGGTACATAGCTCGTTGCCAGCTCAATCCCTAGCCCTGGTTGGGTCATGTGTGGGAAGCAACCAATCAATGTGTCTCATCAATGTTTCTCTCTCTGTCTCCCCCTCCTTTCCACTCTCTAAAAATCAATGGAAAAATATCCTCAGGTGAGGATTAACAACAAATTTTTAACAAACAAAAAAATTCCTTTGTCTCCTCAGAAATTCATTCATTCTTCATTCCCAGGTCTTTATCCTTGGCATAGTTCCCAAAGAAACAGTCCTGTTGTGTGTTCTTTTCAGCATGGTTGTCCTAAAAATTTTAAAATTCATTTTTTTCTACAGATTACACTGTCCCTTTCAACTGCCCAATTTCTTTAATCCTCTCAACTACAAACTTATACCATTTTTATCTCTTGTCATAAAAGTCCTATGCTTTTTAAAAAAAATGTCTCCAGCTGCAATCTTTCTTTCCATTTCCTTGCTTCCCTGTCCCACACCCATTCCACCTCTCTCCCAGATCTCTTTTTCAGGAGCCACCTTTATTGGTTCTCCTGTCCATCTTCTCCTGTGTGCATAGAGACCAGATTGACCTTTCTAAAACACTTGCCCTGATCTGAAGCTTCTGTCTGTGTCCCCCATGGCTTAGAGGCAAGTTTATAGGCTCTTTAGTATTCAGGACTTTGCAGATGGGCACTGCCCTGCCTGTCTTTCTCTACAGTCTAGCCAGGCCAAAAGCCCCTATTGTTGGGTGCCCTACTGGCCTCTGTGCTTTTTTGTTCTTGCGGTGTCCTCCATTCCCGGGCTTCCCGTAGTTGCTTTCCTCTTTCCCTTACTTCCCCAAAATTTGTTTCCTCAGGGCCCAGCTCAGGTTTTCTGTGTACCTTCCTAAGTTCCCCAACCTGAGATGGACTCTTCCTCTTCTACTTTAGTAGCTCTTAATAATGGCAATCACAGATTTTGGAACTTTAGCAAAGCAGGGCAGTCAGTATCTGATGTCTCTGGTCTCCCCAAGAAAATCAAACTACAGTTTCATCTGCCTAGCAGAGTGACATTCCTCAGTACTTCAGGAGTTCTTGCAAAAGTTTTCTTTGTTCAGGACATCTGGCTGCGACTTAACTGAAGCCTCACACAGCCTTTTTGGTTGCTGTCCCATAAAGAGGAGAGCAGAAAGGTGGGTAGTATTGTGGATTCCACACAGTTCCACTTTTTGAGTCTGAGAAATACCATTTCTTGTGGTGAGAGTATAGAATTTAAGTTTCACTTTAAAAGGAAATCTCTCACACCAAAGGAAAACTTGTTATCTGGGCAGTTGTCTTTTTGAGATTACTTGAAGCATGTTTTCTTAGAGATTCTGAGGATGAGGGCGAGCTGGCTGAGGCATCTCTCAAGCCGGGTGGGGTCAGGCAGTGAGGTTCAGGGAGCCAAGAGGCACCCCTCTAGGCAGCCATGTGCTTCCTTTCCTGCCCAGCCTTTCGTTGAAGGGTGATTTCTATTTGGAGGCATCTATGCTTCAGTCATGGATGTAATAGAGGAGCTTGTTTTCCTGATAGATTACTGAGTAGAATATTTAAAGAGTCCATTTCTGGGCTCTGAGGGAGTGAAAGGCCAGTCTTTAAATTATTTTTGAGAGAGAGGAAAGGAGAGATTGTGAGAACATCAATTTGTTGTTCCACTGATTTATCCATCCATTGGTTGATTCTTGTATGTCCCCTGACTGGGGATCGAACCGGCAACCTCGGTGTGTGGGGACAATGCTCTAACCGAGTTACCCAGCCAGGGCAGTGGAAGGCCAGTCTTATCTCAAAAGGCTAAGACAACTTGGAACGACCTGACAATTAGTTATATATACTTTGACATTTCTTTTCCCATGATGGCTTTTTAAAATATGTATTTTTTTATTGATTTCAGAGAGGAAGGGAGGAGAGAGAGAAACATCAATTATGAGAGAGAATCATTGATCGGCTGCCTCCTGCGGGCCCCGTACTGGGGATTGAGCCTGCAACCCGAGCATGTGCCCTGACCGGCAATCAAACCGTGACCTCCTGGTTCATAGGTCCACGCTCAACAACTGAGCATGCCAGCTGGGCTTCCCATGATGGCTTTTAAAGAAATATTTGGCAATAGAATTCTAAACCTCTAAAATTACCCGTGGTGATTCTCGTTTTGTTCTCCAGTTCATGTCATTTAAATTAAAAAATGGAAGCCTGTCCTTTGTTTCTACAGGGTAACTCGATACCCAGTGCCTCGTGTGTGATGAAAGCTAGCATGCTTGAACATGCTGAATCATATGAACTGGGAAGAGTGTGCTATATATCAATCCTTCTAGTTCTGTCAGCCGTTTTCTGAAAACTTGCTGGGAAGGTTGTGTTTGGCATGGCCTGGCTTAAGGATCCTGGGAAGAGATTTTCAGTTTTAAATGTATATCCAGAGCCAAGACTGAAACTCAGCTTAGCTAGTTGACAAGCCACATGTAAATTTCCTATCCCAAACTCTTCTGTTAAAAGGTTGAGTCTGAGCTGTGCAGTTTTAAGCTGCCATCAAAGACAGCCTCCTCACACTAATGTGTATATATGATAGATACTCCTTGAATTCCAAAATCTGCCGCGTTAATGGTTGATGTTGTTTCCCTTCTTTGTTTATCACTTAGTAGATTGCCACTGTTTTGCAGTGTTTTGTATTTTCAGCTTTTGTAACTTAACTGTAATTATTTTTAAAGCTTATTTGGTCTAATGATAAGTATTTTTCAGTATCTAATGTTTTACTGAGCTTCTGTGAATGCCACTTGATGTAATTTTGTATCGTTGCAGAAACAAATAAATTTCAAATGGTAAAGCTATAAAATCATTGAATTTATTAATATTATATTAGAATTGTGTGATATGAGGCCTAACACAAGTGAAAGGTCCTTTTATTCTTAACCTGTAGTCTTCATTCACTTTCCCATCCAATCTCCAATAAACAGGAAACGCCATCCCAGGGTTGTACACATCCTGTAGCTTTCTGTGTTGTGATGGTGACTGATTTGCAGCCCCAGTCCTCCCCACCAGGCAGCCCATGGACTAGTCTAGGAGGTAGCTGGGCCCGTGGTCATCATTCATTTACTCTTGGCACTTGTCCTCTGCTGTCTGCTTGGCCTGGAATGCCCTTGCGGACCCCTTCAACCCCAGTGACATCACCTTTCCAGCCTGTGCCCTGGCTGCCAATGTCACCCTTTATTATCTTTGAAAGATAAGCCTTGAGGCTCCGGTATAGGCTCCATAAGGGTGTGTCTCAGTGCTGCCACCCTGAGCATCATAAGGAAGACAAATCTAGGACCTTGGCTGCATAGGAACTGAATATTATCTTCTAAACACACACCTTGCAAACTGGTATGTGTTATTCTTCCAGCCCCCACAACCGCAATGAGCCTGTCGCAGGCATGTTTCCACCCCTGAGCGAGCCATTAGAACCAGCAAAAAATGGGATATGGAGGCCTCTGGACCTATAACCAAAACCATGCCCAGACTTTGACTAACCCTTGTTGGACACCCTTTTTCCTTAACAGTGTAGACTGCAGCAGAGCACTTCTGAGTGATGAGAGAAGCCTCAGGACAGCTGGACCAATGCTTTCAAGAATATTCGGTTTTCCCTAGCTGGTTTGGCTCAGTGGATAGAGTGTCGGCCCGAGAACTGAAAGGTTCTGGGTTCAATTCCAGTCAAGGGCATGTACCTTGGTTGCAGGCTCGATCCCCAGCGCCAGTTGGGGCGCATGCGGGAGGCAACCAATTGATGTGTCTCTCTCACATCAATGTTTCTCTCTGCCTCTCTCTCCCTCCCTTTCACTCTCTCTAAAAGTCAATAGAAAAAAAAAAATCTTTGGGTGAGGATTAACAACAAAAATTAATATTTGGTTTGACTGTTAGGAGGTATGGGGGTGGGGTGCAGAGCACTGCTGGGGAGACATTAAGGCTATCCAGCTATCCAAATCAGCAGCCCACACCGGGCCTTAGTAGTTAGTGTGTTGTGAAAGGTGGAAGATCACCCCCTGCCCCAGCTGGAAGAGCTTCAGTTAAGAACTGTGATCTGTGGGAGACCTGCGGGTCGGATCTCCATTCAGAAATCAAAAACGAATGAGAGTGCTTCGTGCGAGCAGAAACTAATGCTGAAAGACATGCCTGAGTCAGGCTGTGCCACAGCACCAGCCAAATTCATCTAGCGCATCCCTGACCAAACTAATTCTTCTTTTTCTGTGCCTGGATCCTTGAACCAAGCTTCTTCAGGTCTAGGTACACGTTCCGCTTCAGGATGGCACTGCTGCACAGAAGGGCCCCGTGTATGGCCCCCATCAACCCGCAGACGAAGATGTCTTGGCCTAGGAGACAAGAGCAGAGACCATGAGCAGCCACAAGTGGGAGAGAGGACGAGGGCTCTCGTGTCCATCCCTCTGTGCTGGGGTCACCCAGAGGCGGCTTCAAATCAGCCCAGGTCGACAGCCTGCAGATGTGGGAGCTGCAGGGGCAGGAAGACCTGAGGACAGGAACAGAGGACTGTGGGTGATACGGAGGCCTAGGGGCGCAGCTCCTGGCAAAATGAGGCAAGTCAGTGTACCTGTCAGGTAGAGGTTGGGGATGGGGCTTTGGGCCCTGATGGAGGCTATCGCATGAGGATGCAAGCGGCCCAGGTCGTGGTCAGCCCCATAGCAGGCTCCCTGGTAAGCAGCCAGATAGAACTGATTGGTCAGCGGGGATCCTCCGGTCACACTGTCGACCTAAGAAGCAAAAAAGGCAGCCACAGGGTGGGAGTGAGACCTTGTGAGATGCTCATCTTTCCTCTTCTCTCCTTGAATGAGTTGACGGCCTGCATGGGTTCCCTGCCTTCCCCGGAGCTCAGGTATCTCGGGGTTTTATTTCTCTGGCCCAAAGGAAGTTGAGAAATGGTACAATCACGTGGTCTATCTACCTTTCCCTCGAGCTGTGGGAACAGCTTCAGGACAACCGACAGAGAGGCTTCAACAAAGGAGGACTTGAGGGTCTCGTAGTCGCTGCTCCGCTTTCCGTTGGGTTCGTCCCGCCACTCCTCAAACCACTCATAGCAGGTGGGCACCAGCATGACCATTGCGGACCGGTCTGGGGAGGCAGAGCTGGATTACTGCTGCCTGGCCCCTCCCGCCCCAACCCCCTCCCCAGGACCTCAGGACCTCAAGCCCCACCTGGGAATCGGTCCTCCCAAGTCGGGTCCTTAGCTGATGAGGGAGCAATTAAGAGAAAGGGCATGTGTGCGGCAGCCTTTTCCCTCGGCATAGACAGGTAGTGCTCCATCCTGAGGGTGAGAGGAGTGTGGTTGCCCAGCCCAAGACCTTGGTCCTCACAGCCACCAGCACGCCCCAAGGACAGTTCATCCCCACAGACACCCCCTCACCATCAGGGATGGAGCTGAGGGACAGCCTAGGCCAGTGATGGCGAACCTTTAGAGCTCGGCGTGTCAGCATTTTGAAAAACCCTAACTTAACTCTGGTGCTGTGTCACATATAGAAATTTTTTGATCTTTGCAACCATAGTAAAACAAAGACGTATATTTTTGATATTTGTTTTATATATTTAAATGCCATTTAACAAAGAAAAATCAACCAAAAAAATGAGTTCGCATGTCACCTCTGACACGTGTGTCATAGGTTCGCCATCACTGGCCTAGGCGCACAAAAGCCCTTCCTGGAGTCAGTGCTTGCCTTCCCCCTCCCATTCCATCTCTTGCACTGACTCCCCGGCATCCCGGGAAGAAGCAAGGGTCCTGTGGGCGGTGGGCCCATGCTGACACCCTCTCACCCCGCATGCACACACACGCCTTACGCCTTGTCCATGTCTGTGTCAAAATAAACATAGTAGTTGGTAGCCGGCAGCCCCAGGTCCTTCTTGGTGCCTCGCAGACACATGAAGACAGAGAACATGCCCAAGCCGGGCCGCACCATCTCTAGCTGCTGCTTCACACCTGCCAAAGAGAGCTGGTGAGCGCTGTGTGCACGGCGGCCAGCCGTGGTGCCCGGCCCCAGGGGAGCCTGCTGAGCCTGCTCGCTGTGTCTGCAGCCTCAGCTGCCAGCCTAGCGCCTGGGCCATTTTTATAGTGTCATTTCAACTGCAAGGGTTGAAATAACAATTAATTGGCAAGAGCCTGCTCTCCTGTCTCCGCCTGTGAAGGCCACAATGCCAGACTCCTACTCTTCTGCCTCCACCCACCTCTGCTCTAAGCACTTTTAGAAGCAGGTAGCGCCCAGCCTCCCGAGCTGGCTCACAGCGCCTGCAGGACAGTCTCCGGCTAACTGCCTCCAATCTGCCCCTAATGCAGCGGTTCTCAACCTGTGGGTCGCGACCCCTTTGGTGGTCAAAGGACCCTTTCACACACAGGAGTCGCCTAAGACCATCCTGCCTATCAGATATTTACATGACGATTCATAACAGTAGCAACATTACAGTTATGAAGTAGCAACGAAAATAATTTTATGGTTGGGTCACAACATGAGGAACTGTATTTAAAGGGCCAAAGGTTGAGAACCACTGCCCTAATGTCTCAATTAGGAGTGGATGACTGGGCTCCATGCTACAAAGATCACAGATAGGAACAGTACCTCCTTATAAGCCTTAATTTCAGTATGAACTTGAAAATAAGCCACCTAATAAATGAACATACACAGTTCTCAATGTGCAGTACAGTCAGTACAAGGCCTCAAAATGACCAGCAATGCAGATGGACAAAAGCAAACAGCACTCCTGGCACCTGGCGTTTCAGGATTCAGCCGGGAGAAGGAAGAACAGAACAGGAGGGAGGCAACAGCCGTCCGATGTCCCCTGGACTAAGCAGCTGGCCTTCCCCACCTCTCTTCAAAGCACCCCAGACCAGTTACTCAGAAATTGCTCCTACAGATTCCTATCCTCTGTTCTTCCCAGGACCATCCCAGCCCCTGCTTGAGGGTTAACACTGGCTGCTCTGCCCGTTCATTTAACAACTATCTGTGGAGGACCCAAAATGTGCTGACTCCTCTGTAGGTGCTGGGGATGCTTCAGGAATCAGATACGCTGTCTGTCTATTGGAAAAGAGACTCTCCTGAAATAAGCTGGATGCCCTCCTCTAGGCTGCAAAGAATGAGTGCTATGGGCAGCGTGACATAGAGTCTATCGAAAACAGGCCACTTTGGAGAGCAAAAGGGAGTGTTATAACAATTACAGCAGGATGCTGGCCTCGGACAACCCAGCCAATCCCAGTACGGAGCAGTGGACCGCCCTGGAGCCGCAGGAGCTCACCGCCTGGGTCCCAGCCTCCAGGGTAACCTCAGGGCTGGCGCGCCCTGTCCAGGTTGGGTTGGGTGGGCACAGAGAGAAGCAAGGGCCCAGAAGTGAAACCTCCAAGGACTTAGGAAGCCCCTGAGAACAGCAACCACCTCCACCTAGCCCGCTTTCCCTCTCCCCAGCCAGAAGGAAGAGGTCCAGGGACCATATACCTGGCAGAAAATATAACCTAGGGTCCCAAACAAGGCACAGTATACCAAGCCTTTTTTCTCCACGCCAGCCTTGGCTTCCCTTATTGACATTATGAGACCAGTCTTTCCCACTCAAAAAACTTCTGCTCCAAACCCTCTCAAGGCTCAGCAGTGGGATTTAAGAAAGGCGCTCCCATCCACAAAGGTTCCCTCTGCCTGACCATCCCACCTCCACCCTCGACCCCTCCTGCTCTACCTGTCCCACAGGCCAGCAGGTGTCTGGTTCCCATCTCTGAGAGGCAGATGGAACTATGAAAACTTCCACCCCAAACAGCTAGAAACAAAGGAGTCCCCACACTGGGGCCTCTGAATTAAGCATCACCCTGCCACTGCCTGAAATGTTCTCAAATTGGAATTCATCTGTTTTCAGGGCTGAGGGACCTAAGAGCAGTGACAGCTATTCCCATACAGTAAGGGAAGGCAAGCTGGACAGGTAGCATGTGGCCTGGAGAGAAGGCAGGCCTGGGTGGGACCCAGGATCAAAGGTCCAGGGAGAGAGGGAGGCAGGAAGTACCAAAGGCAAAGTCTGTTGGTCAGCCACCCAGCCCCGCCCCACTGCCCTGCACCGGGCAGTCTCAGCCTCACCCCACTCAGCTTACCCCGTCTGAGGGAGGAGGCCTCCGCTGGCCGCAGATGCTGGCTGAGGCCCAGCTAAGTGAGGCAGAGGAATAAGAAGGCTGTTTTCAGTCAAACACATACCACAGGGACAATGACGACCGCCACCCACCCACCCTCCCCCAGGAGGAAATCCAGGCCCTCACTTTTCTCCTGAACCTACTCTGCAACCCACCTTCCCCAGCTCCTCAAAGAGCAGCCGCAAGCCCCACCGTGAGGTGGAGCGCTCCTTCCACTGCTCCCTGGGCTCCTCCACGCCCTTCTATCGCGACAGCATCTGAGCTGCTCCTATCTCCACCCCCAGCCCCAGCCAGAGGCCTTCAGCTACACCCCTCCCTACCCCCTAGGTCCCTGGTCCCTTCCAGGCCAGCGGCCTCCTCTCCTCAGATCACACCAGTAGCTTCTAGTTACACAACATCCTAAAGTCCATTTCAAAACAGTTACCTCTCACCTTATTTGGCTGAGCCCGTGTTCCTCATGGGCTGACCTGCTCTCCACCCCTTAGTGAGGCCTTTTCTCTGGAAGCCCCGTGCCTCTCAGCTCAGAGCCAGGCACGCGTCTCCATTCTCGTCCCAGCTTGCCACCTTCAAATAGGCGGCCTTGAGAAGTAACTTCACGTTCACGGCCTCAGTTTCCCCAGCCACCAACATCAGCACGATGATGGCTCTCTCCCAGGTGGCGATGAGGATCAAACACCACGACAAAGCCTCTCGCACAGACCTACCCAGGGCCAACCACAAATAGGTCTACCACCTGCCCTGGTTGGGTAGCTCAGTAGGTTAGAGCGTTGTCCTGGCAATACACCAAGGTTGTGGGTTCGATCCCCACCCAGGGCACATACAAGAATCAACCAATGAATGCATAAATAGGTGTAACAAAAAATCGATGTTATTCTGTCCATCTTTCTCTTTCTCCCTTCCTCTTTCTCTCTAAAATTGATTACAAAACAAAACACAACTCAACAGACAAATATGTCTACCTCCTCCTCCACAAAACCAGGCTTTTCTTTTTCTTTTTTCAAATATATTTTTCTTGATTTCATAGAGGAAAAGAGAGGGAGAGATAGAAACATCAATGATGAGAGAGAAAAATCGATCAGCCATCTCCTGCACGCCCCCTACTGGGGATGAGCCCACAAGCTAGGCATGTGCCCTGACTAGGAATCAACCATGACCTCCTGGTTCATGGTGACGCTCAACCACTGAGCCACACCAGTTGGGCCAGGCTTTTGTTTTTAGATGTGTTCTATCAGAAAAGATGGCTGCACTGAGGCTTATTTCTACCTGGTGCCCAGATTTTGGGCACAGGGTTCAAGGAACAGAAGAAAGGCTCAGCCCCAATATGATTCCTGAGAGACAGGAAAATATAACCTTGATCCCAATACGGCACACAACAATTTTATGAGGCCTTTCTTCTCCACGCCAGCCTGAGCTTCCCTTACTGATAATGCCAGACCAGTCTTCCCCACTCAGAAAAAGTGAGAACTTAAGGAAGGAAGCAGGATTCATACCACACGCTTAAGGAAAACCCAAGAAATGTTCCTTCTGGACTCTACCCACCATCATTCACCACTAGAGAGATGACTTAAGATGTAAGAAAACCGGAAATGGGCAACTTGGAACGGAATCTTAAAAGAGGAGCGGGGAAGTGGCTGAGGTTATGAGGGGGAGGGAGTGACTATGCCAAGCATGAAGAGATAAATGAGGATCAAAGGGTCTTCGGGGTGATGTGATAGAAAGTTGTTTCCCCAACTCCTACACAGAGGAGCAAGTTAGAGACCAGTGTGTCCACCTTTTCTGCCTAAGCACAGAGGGCAGCCATCACCCTGGGAAAAGCATCAGCCCGCCTGAGTGAACTGCTCTAGAGCAGCGATGCTGGGGACCGCGGGAGAGAGCCACACAGCCCCGTCTTACCTGGCAGACAGCGGGCGGTCTCTGGCAGTAGGTACTTGTAGGTATTGAACAGTCCTGCGTCAGAGATCACGATGGGGCAGTGGATATTCACCAGCTCTTGACCCTTCTTCACACTGACACCTGCAGGCACAAGAGCAGGACTGAGGTTCTGTGCGCCCCAGGAGGGAAAGAAAGGCTCATATCCCGCACAGGTCTCTCCCAGCCTCCACTTCAATTTCTCAGACCTGGGCGTCTGGGCCACCTAGGCCAGACGGGCACACCCCAGGCAAAACTGCGAAGTCCTCAAGCACTCTGAGAGTGTCCCACAACTGCTCTGTGCTCGCCCTCCCCAGCTGCCTCCCCATCGGGTGGGCTCCCTTTTCTTGAGCTAAACCCAACAATCTTCACACTGACCCCTCCTATCAGCCTTCCACGACCTGGTTCCTACTGTGTGTCCACCTCATTTCTGACCACTCACCAAACCACAGGTACATCCAGAAAAAAAAGCTGATGGTCAACCATTTCTGACCTACGAAAATGGCAGTTTCTAATGCCTTATAATACTCTGCTCTTTCATGCCTTTGCACCTTCTGTTCCCCTTGCCTGGAATAACCTCCCCCAACCTCTGACTAGCTTCTTCTGACCCTTTATGGTTTACATATATTTTTATTGTTGACACGCGTACAGATGTGCCCCACTCCTCCCCATCTTCTGACCCTTTATGACCTGGCTCGAGCGCCCCTGCCTTCCTCTGAGGCCTTCCTTGTTCCGCCATCCTTTACTTCACCTCCAGCTTTAGCATGTGCCTCTGTATGGCACTTACATTAAATCAGCCATCTTCCTTATGAGACCTGAAGCTTCCTGAGGTAAGAGATTAGGTCTTGTCTTTTTATTTTCATCTTTTATCACCTAGCTCCCTGGCTGGCAAACTTTGTTGATTTCAGAGAGGAAATCAACTAGCCTAGCTCGTGAAAAACACAAGTAAATATATTCTGAACTGAGTTTAATTGAACTGATAAAACCACCTTGCTTCATGGACCCCTTGAGGCTGGGAGAACTTGCCCGTGAAGAGGAGAGAAAACCTCACAGCTACTGACAGCCACCTCTTCCTTACCACCAGCCACGTCCTACTCTCTTCTACGAGTGTGTTCTCAGAGACTGCTGGTGGCCTCTTCTCCGGGATTTCTGTGGGGCACTGGGCCACCCACTCGCCACCTTCTCGATAGGTTCCTCTGCTGACTTCACCGTCACACCAGCCCTATTTTCTCAGGCCTCTCTGGCGCCTTCCCTGATGCTTCTTAAGGACCCACGCATTGTGGATGGCCTGCTCTGTTTCCCAGAGTCCTTCCTTGCATTGGCCTCTCCTAATGAAGTCCTTCTATAGTGGGATTTTGACTTTCCGTGCAGATTACAGCAAAGACCTGAGCCAGGATAACAGGGTTCTAGGCCCCACTCTGTCATTAGCAGGTTGAGGGCCCCACACTGCCCTAGAGAGTGCCCAGATCACGTATTCATTCCATTAATTGCCAACACACATTTATTGAACCTCTACCATGTGCTAAAATCTATAGGCAAGTATTAAAGAGACAGCCCCTACACTCATAACTCCCCAAGCCCTACTCTGGGGCAGATTCCAGTTGTAAACCCTGCTCTGGGGCAGATTCCAGCCTTTAACCCCATTTGGAAGTTGGTCCTGCTACACTTTCCGCCCTCAGTGCTTTCTTTTCCCTGCAGCCCAGGTCTCTCCCACCCCAGCGCCGGGCCCATGAAGCGCAGGGCTCTCACCACAGGCTTTCCCAGCTGAGTCCAGCAACACACTCTGCACAGAAGCCTTCGTCAGGACAGCGCCCCCAGCCCGCTGAATCACAGGGATGATGTGAAAGGCGATTTCACTAGAACCCCCTCGAGGATAAAAGGCTCCTTTTATGTAGTGGTCAACCAGCAGAGCATGCATGGAAAAGGAGGTGCGGCTCGGGGTCACGCCTACAGAAGGAAGGAGGGGCCATGAGGCAAATGCAGCAGCAGCAACAGTCAGAACACCAACTCCTGGCAGAGAACGTGAAGTCTGAGTCTCTCCTTCCCAGGGTTCAAATGATGCCCGGGGGAGCCAGAGGGCCGGTCTCCATGAAAATATGGGGTACCTTACGGATCTTGGGGCCACTGGGAATGTCCTCCCTGCAAACTGCTATGCAGCCAAGACTGGGGAGGACAGTGCTGGTAGAAAAGGACAACCGTCCAGGGTGTGGATGAAGGAATTTTACCAGGGAGTCCTGTGGGTAGGTAGGCAGACTTCCCATCCATAAACTCCAGGGGGCCTGGGGTTTATGCTGCATTTCAGCCCGCCGAGTACATTCAGGAAGAAACACTGAGAGCCAGGAGGGCGCGCCTCCTCCAGGAGCTGCCCAGGGCCAGTACCCACCATACGTGGGGAAGATGTAGCTGAGCACCGCCTGGAGCTCCCGGGAGGCCGGCAGCTGCTGCAGGGCCTCGGCCAGGCTCTGCACGGACCCGCGAAGGAAGGGAGAGAACCAGGTGAGCAGCCCACACCTGCCGAGGAACTGAGCCACAGGCAGCGGGAGGGTCTTCAACAAGATGGCATGAAAGGCTCCCCTGGATGCCAGCTGGAAAGAAAACGAACAGGTCTCATTTCTAGAACTGCTGTGACAGAATCACCATTCCATTAGCTTGCAGGCCCAGCAACACTTACCATGGCGGAACTTGAGCTGAAGTTGGATTTTTAAAAACCTCTTCTCTGTGAATTCTTCCCATTCTACACTCAAATGAGTCGTTTTGTTTTTTCAATTACTGCCTAAATTCCTTTCGAAAAATCCCAATCTTGCCCAGCCGGTGTGGCTCAGTGGTTGAGCATTGACCTTTGGACCAGGAGGTCACAGTTCAATTCCCGGTCAGGGCACATGCCTGGGTTATGGGCTAGATCCCCAGAGTGGGGGCAAAGGCAGCTGATCAGTGATTCTCTCTCATCATTGATGTTTCTATGTCTCTCCCTTCCTCTCTGAAATCAATAAAAAGATATGTATTTTCAAAAGAAAACAAAAATCCCAATCTGATCTCAGATGAAGTAAAAAAGGGTAGCGATCTGAAGACACAGAAGCCAGCCTGGTCAGGAAGGAGAGCATGGCGCCCCCCAGAGGCCAGAGTGAGAGTGGCAGCTGCCAAGCCCCTGCTCCAGAGGCACAGAGGCCAGCTCTGGAGGGGACTGAGTTCAGGACAGACCTGACTGCTCCTCCCTTCCTGCCTCCCCACAGTGGCTCCACACATGGAGGTCAGCCTTGTCAGGAATAAACAAGGGGATCCTTAGCATGTCCATGTTACCTTAACCAGCTTTATATACTTGTCAATGGCAGCTTCTTCCTGGGGAAACTTCTCCTTGAGACCCTGAATGTAGGCTTTCTCCCCGCTGTACATGGGGAACTCCTTTCGACCACTGGGCCCTTCGAGTACCATGACGTCAAAGGGAGAGGACAAGGCAGCCCAGTCCAGCTGCCCCTCAGTGATCTGGTCCAAGATAAAACGGTTCAAGCTGCCTTCCTGCATCCTCCCAATATAATGGATTCCTGTGGGGAGACAGACAAACAAGGTGTCTTAAGGATAAGGGGACTGAGCCCCGGACCAGAACGCAAGGTGAGAGAGGTTGTCCTGCTTGGCTGAATCCACACCAGAGGAGTCTACCCAGCCGTGCTGAAGGGAGGAGTTGGAGCAGAAACCACCAGCTCCCTGCCATTCCAGCTCCCAATGGGTGTAGCTGTCAGACAAGGAAAGAGGCGCCCAGAGAGAAAACAGGGCCTCCAAAACAACAGAAAAGCTATATCCCACAATGCTCCAAGCCTCCTGAAGATAGAGCATGCGCCCAACCCTTTTCCACATAAACCTTACCTGTGTCAAACTCGAGGCCATCCTTTCCAAAGGTGTGACAACAGCCTCCCGCCTTGGTATGCTGTTCCAGCACCAGAACTCGCTTGCCAGCTTTGGCCAGAATCGCGGCTGCAGCCAGGCCCCCAATGCCACTGCCAATCACCACCACGTCCAGCTTCTCGGGCACCCGGCTGGCTGAGAAAGCTGCAGCAGAGGGAGGAGATGGAGGGTGGGCTTCTCAGGAAAGGGTAGCAAAGACATGGAAACCAAGGAAGACCTCTCTAGCTTGCCCAATGCTAGAAGTCTAGAGCAGTTTGGCAGAGAATCCTTAGTAGAATATCACAAACATGTTACCTGGGAACTGCTCAGGACCAGCAAAGTGATTTGGTTTGATCTGAACTGATTTAACCAAAGTTGCTATGCACATGGGGATTTTCCCCACTTTCAAAGACAGTAGGAATCAGTAACTTTTTTTAAATTTATTTGAAGGGGGGTGTGTGTGTGTGAGAGAGATCAATTTGTTGTTCTATTTATTTATGCACTAGAGGCCTGGTGCACAAAATTCGTGCAAGAGTAGGCCTTTGCAGCTGAGGGCAGCTGCCTGGATCTGTCCCTTGCAGCCGTGGGACGGCTTGGTCTGGAAGGACGTCTGGAAGGACATCGGTCTAAGTAGCATATTAACCTTTTATTATATAGGATTCTTGTATGTGTCCTGACCGGGGATCAAACCTGCAACCCTGGCTCAGTTACTGATTCCTGCCCTGGCTGGGTAGCTCAGTTGGTGAGAGGAGGGGTCACTTGATGTTGACACACATTAGCCACCTTGGCACAAACACATTGTGGTGTGGCAAAACTAAAAATCATTTTAATTCTTTCCTCCCTCCCCATTTTAAGCATAGACCTGACTCCCTTAAGACCAGAGACCTCTTGGGACATGACCTCAAAAAGCATGTTCGACTGTGGATCTACAAATCTGCCATTTTCCTTTCATTGCCTGAAAGTGAGGATGGGTTTGTGAAAAGATGCTAAACAACATGCTTAATGTGAAATGTCAACCCTCACTCTAAACTCTCCCTGTTCTGAGCATCAGATGAAAACTTCATTGGGTCTTATAGCGGCTTTCTGATTTTCACAGTCCATTGAGGAGGGGAGTTTGAAAGTTGTTGTACGCTGTGAAGGATTGTCTACCATGTCCTGCCTTGAAATACCATGATTATTTATGAAAAGCATCTTTAATAAAGCTGGATACAGGTTGGCGGGGGGGGGGGGAGGGGGGAGAGACAGAGTCTGTACTTGACTTTGCCAAGACCTTGGCACACAGAGGACAGTGCGCGCGTCCATGCGTCCACTGTTGCCCAGCCTGCCCAGCAAAGGCGCCGGTTGGTGGCGGACACTACAGCGGGGCGCCTCCACGAGCCTCCAGCCTCCCCGGCACTTTGCATAGGGAGAAACGGAGGCCCAGGTCTGGCAGCCGCTCGCCCTGCCGGAAAGAAGCCGCAAATCGGTGCAGCCTCCGACCGCAAGGTCCTTTCCACTGACCTTGTTTCAGAACCTTCTTCCGGGCCTCCTTGTCGGTCACCAGGGGCGCCGGGGGCCGTGTGACGTCCTCGGAGAAAGGGTTCGGGGAGCTGCCTGAGTAAACTTGGCGGAGGACGGCCAGCAGCAGCAGCAGCGCGGCCAGCAGCACCAGGGTGAGCCACATGGCGCCTGTCCGAGGGCTGGTTCGCGCCGCCGGCGCCCAGATTTGTGGCGGAGGTGCCACCCTGCAAGGCGTCCTGCCCAGCGGGAGGCGGAGGCAGCTCTGCCCCTTGGCCCGTGGAGCAGCCTGGTCTCTTTGACTTTGGCCGGAAGCCCCGACTCCCGCGCAGGTTGGCCCTCCCGGCCCTCCGTACGGGCGGGAGGCAGCGCTCAAACTCCCCGCCCGCGGGCGGCGCGCTCCTCCCCCGCCTGCGCGGGGTGGGCGGGCGCATGCGCGGAGGGGCCCGCGGCGGCGGCGGCGGCGGTGGGAAAGCTTCGGGAGCGCGTCGGGCCAGCCCGGGGGCCTTCGGGCGGGGATGTGGGGCGCCAGGGATGGTCCCGGGGCGAGGCGAGGCTGAGAGGTGCAGGCCTGAGAGAGAACCCCGACTGGGACGCCGGAGACTTGGGCTCCGGTCCGCGCTCGGCCGAGGACCTGAGGCAAGTCACTTTGCTCCATTTCCCCGCTCCCGCCGGGCCGCGGCCGGCTGCCTGGCTGGACGGAGGTCTCTCTTGGCATCTGCCTCGGCGAGCGCCGGACCCCCTAGCGCCCCAGACTGGCCCCTGGTTGTGGCCGCGGCGCCCCTGGGGAATGGCGTTGCCGTGGGCGGGGCCTCCGGCTGGTCCCGCGCCACCTCCCTCCGTGGGGGCAGCCTGGGGACCGGGGCGCGACGGGGGCGCCCAGCGACGCGCCCGGTGAGAGGACCGGAGCGCTGCCGGACCGGTGCGCGCGTTTGTATTTGAGGCGTGGACCCCGTTTCTAAGTTAAATTCCTATTCAGGGGGTTTAAGCTCCAGCAAGCAGTTAGAAGTCAAACCCGCATGAAGCCCCTTCTCTAAAGCGGATGCACCATCAATACTTCATTGAAAAAGGATCCGTCTGGCCTGGAACCAGGAGGTCACCGTTGGGTTCCGGTCAGGGCACATGCGGATTGCGGGCTTGAGCCCCAGTGGGGTGTGCAGCGGGCAGCGGTCAATAATTCCCATCCTTGATGTTTCTCTCTCCTCTCTCTCTCTTCCTCTCTGAAATCAATAAATTATATAATTTATATATATAAATAAATTATATATATGTTATGTATATAAATTATATATAATTATATATATAAATTATATAACATATATAAATATATAATTTATATAAATCAATAATTTATATATATAATTTATATATATATAACATATAAGTTATTTCAGAGAGGAAGAGAGAGAGAAAAATATATATATTTTTAAAGGAAGGCCATTTCCTCAGGTCCAACTCTAAGGAACTTGCCCAATAGAGGTGGGAGTGACTTAAGAACTAAGAGTTCTCTCTGTTTGACAGTTTGCTCCGTTCTTTCTCTGATAAGATAGTAACTGTCCCTAGTGAAGCCCCCAGCAGTGCTCCAGCCAGAACCCAGGCCCTAGCAGGCGTGTGAAGCTGCTCACTCTACTCCGCTTGGCCCATTTCACGCTGGGTAACAGAAAGGCCTTCCTGAGATTGCTGTCACCATGCCTGCCTCTCACCTTCCCGAGACTGGCCGATGTAGGAGTGTTTTGTCAGACGCTGTCATGGAGGTCAAGGAGGAGGGGAAAAGGGAAGCAGATGCTGAGGCCCCAGAGGACATAGTGAGAGGGAGCTGGTTCCCGAGGTGCCATGAGTAAGGGGCACTACCCTGTCTTATAAATTACAATGAGCCCCATGCCCAGCCCAGGAGCCAGGAGGTATTCCTGCTCCTTGGGTGGGAATCAGTGTGTCCTACCCCAACAGAGAGTCCTGTTTGTTACTGGCAGCCAGTTCTTAGGGAATCCAAGTTATATTCCCACAGAGGAGGGCTGACCTAGAGATGAGGCCCTCCTTCCTTAGACACTGGAGTCTGAAGTATGACGGGCAGTTGTGTGTGAGCCATCTGTCCATTATGATCTGGCTTTTGGCTTTTTTTTTTTTTTTAATACGGAAGGAGGAAGATGATATGAAGCTTGGATCAAAGGCAGGGTTTTGTTTTTTGTTTTTAAGTATGTTTTTATTGATTTTAGAGAGGGAGAAAGAGAGAAACATCCATTGGCTGCCTCCTGCATGCCCACTACTGGGGATCAAGCCAGCAACCCCAGGCATGTGCCTTAACTGGGAATTGAACCGGCAGCTTCTTGGTGCATGGGATGACGCTCAACCAACTGAGCCACACCAGCCAGGGCTGATCTGGCTTTTTGTTGAGATGTATCCATGGGTCCAGTTCCCCTGTGATGGAAGTATGGGCTTCTCCAGCCCTCTTCCAAAGATGATGTAGAATGAAAGACTGAGTTAGCCAAACTGGCTAAGCAGCTGCAACATGTGCAATATTGGTGACAACTGAAGAAGGTTAGCATTGTGTTGCATTTTAAGTTTCTACCATCATAGGAACCAGATCTTATAAGCCCCTAGACCCAAGCCTGAGCACGTCAGCTAAGACCACCCTTCAAGATGCCACCCATTAGCCTCACCTCTTTGATAAACTTCCCTAGATCCCATTAACTTCACTGTCAGAAACAGAACCCCACCACTTACAGTAGTGCTGCTACCTTCTGGATTCTGAGAACCCAGCCCTTAGACTCCGGCAGGGTCCCCTTCTTTCCATCCAGTGGAATGGGTAGTAAGAGGTAGGCATTTGGCTAAGGCAGCTTATTTATTAAGAATAAATTTGCAGCCCTGACCGGTTTGGCTCAGTGGATAGAGCGTCAGCCTGCGGACTCAAGGGTCCTGGGTTCGATTCCGGCCAAGGGCATGTACCTTGGTTGCGGGCACATACCCAGTAGGGAGTGTGCAGGAGGCAGCTGATCGATGTTTCTCTCTATCCCTCTCCCTTCCTCTCTATGAAAAATCAATAAAAAATATATTTAAAAAAAAAAGAAAAGAATAAATTCGCAGCCCAGCTGGCATGGCTCAGTGGTTGAGCGTGGACCTATGAACCAGGAGGTCTCGGTTTGATTTCTGATCACAGCACATACCCGAGTTGTGGGCTCGATCTCCAGTGTGGGGCATGCAGGAGGCAGCAATCAATGATTTTTTTTCTCATCATTGATGTTTCTATCTCTCTCCCTCTCTGAAATCAATAAAAATCTATTTAAAAAATTAAAAATATTTAAAAAGAAATTAACAGATTTTTAAAGTCAGTTTTTCTCAACAGAAGCATAACTGAATGATGAAACCAGTTTTCTTTATTTTTTTTTTATCAGGGCTGAGGCCTCAAAGACCTCAGGGACTTCTTTCAGTACTCACAGAAACCTACACCCTGGTGATGGCACACAGGGACTGTTTTCTTGCTCTAAGTCTGAATGACTGCCAAAAAGGAAGGCAAAGGTAGAGCAGTTGGATCTCTGGCTCTCCCCATAGCTTCTAATCTCAGACCTTCATAAACTCCTTTCTGAGCCCAAGGACAAAGCTCACTTGAACAAATGATTTTGAGTCATGAATGAAAAATCTTGCTCTTTCCACAATGAGAAAGAATTCAGAGATGGACAGGTAAGCAAGCACTTCTGTTTTGGGGGAAACGTTTGGTGTGGGATATATCATTAATAGTAATAAAAGCATTTATCAAGAGAATGTGGAACTTTATATGTAGGAAAAACCCTCATTATCGTTCTCTTTGTTCTATTAGAAGCTTCTATTCACCTCTGGGTCGGTTGCCTTTCCTGAGATCTTATTTTCTTAGTGGGTTATGGGATTTGAGTTTGGATTTGCTTGGTAGGAGAATTTCAGTGAGGAATCTTCCTAGACATTTGTATTTCATTGATTCGGACTGATTATCCTCAGGACTCTTGGTTCAGTGTGACCTATCTCTGTGCAAGTCTTATCTTTCCCACTACCTTGCCTAGAAATGTATTCTTAGAGGGAGGAAAGGAGAAAGAGATCGAGATTGATTTCTTGTTCCACTTACTTATGCATTCATTGGTTGATTCTTGTATGTGCTCTGACCAAAAAAATGCATTCCTAAGTGGAGCCTGTAGGATTCAGTGGTTGGAACTAGGACAAGGCCTTTTTGCTTTGGTGGTTGCCTTCACTAAATTAAGACAGGTGAACTGTATTCCCAAAGGGAAGTCTTTGGACACTGGAGGGGACTGAACTGGAGGGGGAAAGGAAGGATGAAATGAATCCTGAGTACACAGACCCCTGCAGGGAGTTGTTTAGCATGGTGAATCACCAGATATTTTTGATAACATATTTTGTGCCTAGTACTATGTGAATGAGTATGGGAAACATAAAAGAGGTATAAGAGAAGGTCCTTACGCTCAAAGCAGCAGATTCTGATTGGGGAGACAGGCCTTGGAAGAGAAACCTGTAGCTTTTGGACTTTAGGTAAGTGAGATGCCATTGTAGCCCCAGTTGGTAAGGTAGGCCACCTTTAGGAGGTAGAACTGATTTTGAAGGGAATAGAGGACACAGAGAAGTTGGAGGTAGGTGTGTATTCTAGAGGAAAATCACATGACCCCAGAAATAGAAGTGAGAGTAATTGCAATAGTGTGTTCATTGGATTGACGTGGGAAATACTGGTACTTGGGCTTCAAGAGGCCAGTTATGGAGGAGTTGGCTCAGTTGTGTGTTAGGGCGCCCATTCTCATCTCCCAGGGATAAAAAAAAATCAAATCTGATTTTAAGGAGTATTAGCAAAAATACGTAGGAGGGATTAGAGTAGTGGGATAATCTAGGATTATAGGGCTTTGACTTCAGCAGTGATTCCTTTATTAATCATTTTCCTTTATTATTTTTTATTTATTCTACAGAAAATAATCCATTCACATAATTCAAAATTAAAAACATACAGAGTATATGCTATGAAAAAATTGCCCGCTAGTCCTAGCTGATTTGGCTCAGCGGATAGAGTGTCAGCCTGCGGACTGAAGGGTCCCGGGTTCAATTCCAGTCAAAGGCACATACCGGTTGTGGCTTGATCCCTGGCCCTGGTCAGGGCGCATACGTGGGAGGCAACCAATTGATGTGTCTCTCTCACATTGATGTTTCTCTCTGTCTCTCCTCCTCCTTTCCACTCTCAAAAAATCAGTGGAAAAATATCCTTGGGTAAGGCTTAACAACAACAACAACAAAAAAATTGCTGCCCTAGCTGGTTTGGCTCAGTGGATAGAATGTCAGCCTCTGAACTGGAGGGTTCTGGGTTCGTTTCCGGTCAAGGGCACATGCCCAGGTTATGGGCTCAATTCCCAATAGGGGGTGTGCAGGAGGCAGCCGATCAATGATTCTCTCTCATCATTGATGTTTCTATCACTTTCTCCCTCTCCCTTCCTCTCTGAAATCAATAAAAATATATATATTTTTAAAATTGCCTTCTACCCTTGTCCCCTGGCCACCAGTTTTTCTGTTGGAGGCAAACGTACCACTTCTGGAAATAGTCTCTGCAGACAAGCAAATATGATTATGTATTATTTTTAAATATAAATAGTAAAACAGTGTATAATCTGTCCTTTGCTTTTTCACTTAATATGTCATGAAGATTGTCCCATATTGTCCATAAAGCACATTCTTCTTTATGAGGTAAATTAATGCTATTCGGGTGGTATGAATTGCAAGAAGTTTGTCAAGTGTGTTTTTTTAAGCTCTCATAGGGGACAGGTTTGGCTTAGCGGAAAGGCCAAAAGTGAGGGAACTGCCTCACTGAACTTCACTTATTCAGAGACCTTTAATAGCCAGGAAATCTGTGTAAGATTTTTGAGATAACATTAATTCAGCTTTTCGCAGTTTTCCTTAACAATAGATTAAACAGAAGCTTTCCCGTATAGTATTTCTCATAGTTAACTACTTAGGAGTCCATCCATATGTGTGTGTGTGTGTGTGTGTGTGTGTGGTGGGAAAAGGTGTGACATTTAAGCTGTCATCTTTGGGGCTGACATGTGCCTGGGAGAGTGACTCTGGTTTGTCTTTCAGGTCGAAAGTGTGTCTGCTGGGAACTCTCCACCAAACGACAAGGACAGCAGTGCTCTTCTGGCTTTCAGAGGAATTCCTGTACATATTGCACACACTTTAGTACCTCCCGCCAATACAAGTGTTTGTTGCATGCCATTAGGTGGTGCCAGGAGCCCATGACACAGGATAGCATAGACCCTGCCCTCCAGGAGCTCATACTGAGGGGAAGAGGGGTGGGGCACAAACAAGCAAAAAGCAACCTCTGTCTAGTAAGATTATTGCTCTAGTGAAGCAAAATATAAAGTGCAATGGGAATACCAAAGGCTCACCACAGTCTCATTGAATTGTGTGGATTTTGGTTGTTTGCTATTCATGGAAGGTGTACACGTCCCCACATCACTCAACTTGTGCATCAGAGTTGGAGCTTTCCAGGTGCCTCTCTTTAAGATTGGCTTTAATCAACCCATCAAGGTAGATTAGCTCCTTCTGGCCTCCAGTTTCAAGGATATTCAGTACCATGGGTGGGGTTGGGGGGACATGGATCTACCCTTACACTAAAGATCACTGCCCTGCAGATCTCGGAGTTGAAGAACCACAGCCTCCTCCGGGCCCTGACAACAGAAGCTAATGGATGGGCGCCAGGTGGTAAGTCCCCTTCAGGGCCCTTAGAGCCTGGGTGGGGCCCAAGTCAAAGCTGCCCATGGATCTGCTTTTCATCATTTGAATTTCTCACTACTTGTCCTACAGAATTTTGCAGATTTATCATTATCCAAGGAAAATTAGAATCAACACTGGAGGAGTCACAAGATCTGAGTTATAATCTAGCCCCAATAGCCCTGCTAGTGACTGACTGTGTGCCTTTGGGCAAATCATATAATCTCTGTGTCTACAGTAGAAATATTAAAACCTCCTTTATGCTCAAAAGGATATTACGGCCCTGACTGGTTTGGCTCAGTGGATAGAGCGTCGGCCTACGGTCTTAAGGGTCCCAGGTTCGATTCCGGCCAAGGGCATGTACCTTGGTTGCAGGCACACACCCAGTAGGGAGTGTGCAAGAGGCAGCTGATCGATGTTTCTCTCTCATCGATGTTTCTAACTTTCTATCCCTCTCCCTTCCTCTCTGTAAAAAATCAATAAAATATATTTTTTAAAAAAGGATATTATGATCTACACTAATAAAAGAGAAACATGGTAATTGGCGTACGACCGCTACCCTTTTCATTGGCTAATCAGCGAGATATGCAAATTAACTGTCAGCCAAGATGGCAGCCGGCAGCCAGGCAGCTTGAAACTAACATGAGGCTTGCTTGCCTCAGTGACGGAGGACTCCAACGTTCCCCGCCTGCGGCTGCAGGCCTCTGAGCTGGCAGTTTAAGAAACGTTGTAATGAATACCGCTGGACTTCAGCCAGCAGATTTGCAACATTGTAAGCAAAGGCCAGAAACCTACTTTCAGCAGCGGAGGCCTAAGAGCTGGAGCCAAGCCTCAAGCTAAAGCTGGCACAGAATTAAAAAAAAAAGGAAAAAAGCGGTTGGGAGCTTCAGTCACCCCCAGCCTGAAAACAGCCCTCAGCCCCTCACCCAGACTGGCCAGGCACCCCAGTGGGGCCCCCACCCTGAAGGGTGTGTGACCAGCTACAAACAGCCATCATCCCCTCACCCAGGCTGGCCAGGCACCCCAGTGGGGACCCCCACCCTGATCCAGGACACCCTTCAGGGCAAACCAGCCGGCACCCACTCGTGCACCAGGCCTCTACTCTATATAGTAAAAGGGTAATATGCCTCCCAGCACCAGGATCAGCGGAGCCGCGAGGCCTCCCGGCACTGGGATCAGCGTGACAGGGGGAAGCTCCCCAACCCCCTGATCGGCCCTGCTCTGTGCATGACAGGGGGCAGCGCCCCAACCCCCGGATTGGCCCTGCTCTGTGCGTGACGGGGTGGCGCCACAACCTACCCATCGACTCTGCCTTGAGTGTGACGGGGGCGGTGCCCCAACCCCCCAATCGGCCCTACCCTGAGCGTGACTGAGGGTGGCATCGCAACCTCCCAATCCGCCCTGCTCTGTGCATGACGGGGCGGTGCCCCAACTCCCCAATCGGCCCTGCTCTGAGCCCAACCAGGGGCTGCACCTAGGGATTGGGCCTGCCCTCTGCCACCCGGGAGCAGGCCTAAGCCAGCAGGTCGTTATCTCCCAAGGGGTCCCAGACTGCGAGAGGGCACAGGCGGGCTGAGGGACCCCTCCTCCCCCCGGAGTGCACAAATTTTTGTGCACTGGGCCTTTAGTAATGAAATAAGACAGTATATGCAAAAGGACTTTGAAAAAGCATCCTATTTTATCTGCTTTACATGGTTCTTTCCTACATTACTGGGTGGGCAAAAGTAAGTTTACAGTTGTTCATATGGAAAATAATACAATAATCTATATATATAAAAGCCTAATATGCATATTGTCCCCTTGAGAGTTCAACCAGGAGACTAGGAGTTCGGTTGCTTGCTATGACGTGAGCTGACCACCAGGAGGCGGTATGGAATGAAGGGAGGCCCCAGCTGGCAGCCGGCAGGCCCCAATTGGCCCTGATCGCCAGCTAGGCCTAGGGGCCCTACCCATGCACGAATTTCGTGCACCGGGCCTCTAGTCTATATATAGAAAAGCCTAAGTGACTGGCCAACTGGCTGGTAGCTATGATGCGCACTGGCCACCAGGGGGCAGACATTTAATACAGGAGCGGAAACTACAGGCATGGAAACATGGAACAGACTGATGAATTTCAGAGGGAGGAGGGCAGGAAGAGATTAACTAAAGATCTTATATGCATGCTAGAGGCCCTCGGCCTGGCCTGTGTGTGCCCTCTTGCAATCTGGGACGCCTCGGGGGATGTCAGAGAGCTGGTTTTGGCCTAATCCCTGCAGGCCAGGCTGAGGGGCCCCACTGGTGCACGAATCCATGCACCGGGCCTCTAGTTGATAAATAATAATACAAGTATAAACTTTGTTTTGCATACTTACAATTATAAACCTACTTTTGCCCCACACTTTGTTGTGGGGTTGTTGTTGTTTTTTTGTTAATCCTCACCAGAGGATATGTTTTCCAATTATTTTTAGAGAGAATGGAAGGGAGGGAGGAAGGGAGAGGGACATAGATGTGCAAGAGACACACCAATTTACAACCTAGGTATGTGCCCTTGACTAGGAATTGAGCCTGCAACCCTTTGGTGCATAGGCTGGTTTCCCTAACCATTGAGCACACCAGCCAAGGCGAAGCGGGTTTTTTGTTTGTTTTTTTTACAGTCCATGGTTGAGTATTCTGTATTCTGTTGAAGTTATCCAGCTTGGAAGCCCTGAGGTTCTGTGTCTGCTGCCCCGTCCACAGTTTGGGACTGGCAAGATTGAGTTTCCCAGAGTTCCAGACATTCAGGACCCCAAACCTATCTCATCTGCCACCACTTCACTGTCCTGCTGGTCCCAAGCCCACGACTGTGTCCATAATATTAGCTAACATGTATTGAGCACTTACCTTTGGGCCACATATTCCCCGAAGAGGTCGAAGAGTTACATCATCCCCATAGTAGTCCCATGAGTGATTACTAATGGTTAAGTAATTGGCTCAAAGAACAGCTAATAAATGGTGGAGATGAACTGTTCACCAGCAATAGGCTCTAGAGCAGGGGTCCTCAAACTATGGCCCGCGGGCCACATGTAAATACAAATACTGTATTTGTTCCCGTTTTGTTTTTTTACTTCAAAATAAGATATGTGCAATGTGCATAGGAATTTGTTCATAGTTTTTTTAAAAACTATAGTCCGGCCCTCCAACGGTCTGAGGGACAGTGAACTGGCCCCCTGTTTAAAAAGTTTGAGGACCCCTGCTCTAAAGCAGTGGTTCTCAACCTTGGCTGCACATTAGAATCACCTGGGAATCTTTTTAAAATCCTGATTTCTGGGCCTCATCCTCCAGAAATTCTGTTTCTTTGTTACTAATGTTGTGGCCCCAACCCGTAACAAAGAAACAGAATTTCCAGAGGATGGGGCCCAGAAATCAGGATTTTAAAAAGATTCCCAGGTGATTCTAATGTGCAGCCAAGATTAAGAACCACTAGAGCAGGGGTGGGCAAACTTTTTGACTCAAGGGCCACAATGGGTTCTTAAACTGGACCGGAGGGCCGGAACAAAAGCATGGATGGCGTGTTTGTACGGTCTTTTTTTTCAATAGTTTTATTCATTTCAAACGGCCGGATCCGCCGTAGTTTGCCCGCGGCTGCACTAGAGTGTGCTTTTAGCAACCATCTGCTCCCGCTTCCCAGCCGCTTGCTCTTCCTCATTATCCACTAGTGTTTTGAGTTCTTGATAGAATTTTACTTAATTTGCAAGTATACTTTCAAAACAGGTTTGTCACGTGATGTCCTCAGCCATGAGTTCAAGGCAGAGAGGAATTGTCCTAAACTGCTTTTACCACTGAGGCTGGAGGGATCACAGTGTTTGGTATTTAACTGAAGTCTCTTCATCCTTACCACTATTTGTTGATGTCCTCCATAGCAAATGGGAAAAACCAGTGACAGGATGCTATTAGCAATTTGGGCCAGAGAGTGGCAGCTGTGGTTTGGAGAAAAGGGCCATGTAGTGGCTATAGAGGGCCAATCCTGCTGTTTTTTTTTTCTTCTCCTCCCCCCCGCCCCCTTACCATGCTTTATTCATTCATCAAATATTGAGCACATGTTATGTGTCAGGCACTGTTCTAGGTTCTGGAGAGCCCCGCTCTCATGTAGCTCCCAGTGCAGTGGGAAAGATGGTCCCACACTGATAAAGCATCCAGGTGAGGGTGATAATCAGAATTAACTGAAGGATGAGAAGGAGTTACACCAGAAGGGGTTGCAATTGACGGGGCTTGCTGACTGTCGGCAGAGGGAGAGCAGTCCGTGCCACGGCCCTGAAGGTGGGAAGTATAGAGAAACTTTAGGTATCCTTTACGCCCTACAGCAGAGTTAGGTACAGAGGGTCCAGATTGTGAGAGTACTTAGATGCTATGCTAAAGAGTTGAGGTTTACCTTGAGAGTTATGGAGGATCCCTGGAGGGTTTTGACCAGGGGAGCCAGGGTGGGACGCCAGGTCTGCCTTTCCGAAAGCTCACCCTGGCAGCCTCGTAAAGAGGGTATCTGAGGGCAACGGGACCCAGGGCTGGGGCTGACGGTGATCCAGACCACCCCGAGCTCAGAGGGTCTCCTTTTCTTACCGTTGCAGTTGTGAGCCCCGAGGTGCTCAGAGCCCAGGAAGAATGGGAAGCCGTGCAGAACATCCAGCCAGAGACAGGTAACTGCAAGAATAGCACTATCGCCACACAGTCTGCTGCTGGTAAAGGCACTGTCCACACATGAGGCTAATGTTTCTGTGGCTCTGAGATGAGAAGACAGTTCCTGAATGGTCCTATTTTGGCTGTGTGCAGTAGAATAAAAACTCCAAATCTAAAGACGACTTTCTGGGAGAAATGGGAATGAATGCCCTGGGGAAAGGGCTGCCACCTACCCAGCCCTGAGAGAAGTCAGGGAGGACCTTGGCATGGTCAGCTTCTGTAGGGAGATGAGGTTAGCAGGAGGATGGAGGCGGGCAGCTGGGGCCGCTGCATAAGGCTGAGCAGGTTGTTCACTGTACAAGGAAATCCCTGGAGTTGGGGGCTGAAGCCATCTTCTGGAAGTCTCTGAGCTTGATAAAAATCGTCTCTCATCTCTTTCCGAGAGCTCCAGAACAGCAGAACTAGGACCATATGGGAGAGATGTTACTGTTGACTGGCAAGTTAATTCCCTGTGGACTGGAACAAAGGATGGAGAGAGGGCCATTCATATGTAGGGTATGAGAAGGGTCAAATTAGGAATTAGGAAATACCCCTAAGCAAAACTGTGGCACACTCTTATGTGTGTACCTACTCCAGTCAGTGACACCCCCTCCCAGATGAGTGGAATTTAGGGAGCCCCTGAGGGGCAGATGTATCCCTACTCACTGCATAGATCGCTTGCAAGCCTCTGACCAGCCTGGTGTGGAAGGGAAGTTGATCCAGCAGCTTTGGGTGTCTGATGTTTACAGCTGGAATCTGAGCTTAGAGGTGACAACTGGAAGGCCTCAGTGAATGGCTGCTGACACTGACTACTGTTACAAACCCTGGGGTTTCTGCCTCTTCCCTTTGGCCACAGGAAGCCAGACAGACCATCCTACACAGCTAATCTCCTTCAGTGAGGCCCTGCAGCATTTCCAGACCATCGACCTCTCCTCCTTCAAGGTATGACATAGGGACGTTTGGGATCTCCAGCAAAGCACTTCTTCCCAGGAGCCAGGTTTCTAACCCACCAGGACAGGGCACTGGTCAAGCAGATGGAAGCATCTAGTTGAGGGTCCTATCTCGCCTAGAAAGATCTTGGGGTACAGGGTCGTGGCTGCCAAAGACCCTTGTTGCATGCAGGGCCCCTGTGGCCTTTCTGGGCCTGTGCCCCAGAGCTCCGGTGGCCCTGTCATACAGAGGTCCATGTAGCTGCTCCCTGCTTTTCCCTCTTAGCGATGGGAGGTCTGGAATCAAGTGCTAGGTAGTTCCTTGAGGAAGCAAGGCAGCCTGTCCAGAGCTGAGTAATTAATGGCTAATGTAGGAAAATCTTCCATTCTCTCAAGGTATTAGAAGCTATCTGGGAATTTTAAAAATATGTAAGATTGGAAGAAGAAAGAATCCTGTATAATAAAAGGTAATATGCAAATCTATTGAATGGTGGAAGGACCGGTCGCTATGATGCACACTGACCACCAGGGGGCAGATGCTCAACACAGGAGCTTCCCCTGGTGGTCAGTGCACTCCCACAGGGGGAGCGCTGCTCAGCCAGAAGCCAGACTCATGGCTGGCGAGCGCAGCAGTGGTCCTAGACTGCAAAAGGGTGCAGGGGGTCCTAGATTGCGAGAGGGTGCAGACCGGGCTGAGGGACACCCCCTTCCCCCACAGTGCGTGAAATTTCGTGCATTGGGCCTCTAGTATTGAGAATAAAAGCTGGCAAGCTTTCTGGGGCATCTTGAGTGATAGTAGTAAGTTTAGAGGAATGTGATTTCAGATCTTGTACCTAAAACCTGGCTCAATAGAGAGGCTGCGAAGATAGGAATCAGGTTGCCAGAAGCTACCCAGATCAGTTTGTTCTAAGTCCCTGGCCGTGGCCCTGAGCAATGAGAAGTCAGCATGACCTGGTTTAGGAAGTGCTGGTTGTGGTGGTAGCAGAAGACTTTAGCTCCCCTCAGAGGTATCCAGCTCCAAAAAAGTCTCCACTCAACTTCTGTCCCCACTGGCTGTCTCATCCTGGAATTTGAGAGTGGTGCTAGACTTTATAAATTACGTCCTTTATGGAGAGAGACAGAGGCAGGCATACAAAGGCTATGCAGAAGCAGCCCTGCTAGGAAACCTGGTGTGGTGTTTTTGTGAGACCACCTGGGGGAGTCCCCACAGCCAGCCTCCTTGACAGTCAATGGAATAGCTAGTTCTGGAAGAGCCCGAAGGACCAAATATACACGACTGATAATGCTTGGGGACATGTCTCTCTATTTACAAAGGACTTAAGAGCTTGGAGAGCCTGTCTCCAGAGATCCCACAGATGCTTCACAGCGTCTGCCCCCTTTCCCTGGCCCAGAGACCAGCCACTTAATTGGGGGAACTATGTCTTTCTGTAAGAACAGTCCCTGTGCTCAGCCTAATGATAAGTTCATGAAAGCAGGTGGACCTAGCATGCTACCCATTACCTGCAACTTTCTCCCCAGAAAAGAATCCAGCCAACAATTCGAAGGACTGGGCTTGCCGCCCTCCGGCACTGCCTCTTCGGGCCTCCAAAGCTCCACCGGGGCCTCCGTGAAGAAAGGGACTTGGTCCTGACCATTGCTCAGTGTGAGTGCACTGGTGCTGCCACAGAGCAGGTGCTGCATGAGGTCAGGCAGAGAGCACTGCTTGCCCACCCTGTGACTAAGCCTCACCCAAGGGTCTTGCATTTTCCATGTTGATGTGGGGAGCAGGGACTGAGAGGTAAAAGTCTGGGAGAACAGGGTGTCTTGAGTACAGTCTGGTTCTATCTTGAGAAGCACTTAGTCTTCCCTTGAAGGGCAATCCAACAGAAACATGGGTGTGTTTTGGGGCAGGTGGCCTGGATAGCCGAGACCCAACACATGGCCGAGTCCTCAAGACCATCTATAAGAAGCTGACCGGCTCCAAGTTTGACTGTGCCCTCCACGGCGATCACTGGGAAGATCTGGGCTTTCAGGGTAAGAGAGAGGAATGGTTCATCTTCTTTTCTTGGACCCCTGATTCCAGGGCTAGAGTGAGAGCCCAGCACCATGCTGAGGGGTATCTGGGAAAGCCTTCCAGGAAGAGGGTAGAGCAAATGCAAAGGCCCTGGCATGAAGGTTGTTTGCCTCTGTCAGAGAAACAGCGTGGCTGATGTGAGAAGAGAGTGGCAGGAGAAACGCTCACTCGTGGCCGGGCAGACCATCGTCAAACACTCTGGGGTGGAAACCACTGAGTGATATGATTTGGGATCTGGTTTTTTCTTTTTCCTTTTTTCCACTAATATTGATGAAAAGTTTGTTTTATTTTATTTTTTGAGTGAAACAAAATTATTTCACCTGCTTTTGGATTGTGCTACTCTTTTTTCAAAATCATACCAAATTACACTTGTATAGAATAGGAAAAAAATCTTAATTTTAAAAGGAAACTTTATATACCCATAATTAATTGACAGTCTGTTGGTATTGACAACATGTTTAAGTCCATCTTCCCTCATGTATAATTGTCTTAAATATGTCCTCTATAAACACTGAAAATCATATGAGTGTTTGATTTTTGTTTCAACCATTAAACAACTTAAGAATCTCAAGAGGAGAAGCAAAATCCATTGTATTTACTTTTCCATTGTTCTTTTTTCCTTTCTGATATTCCACGATTCCTTTTATCATTTCATTTCTGTTTCAAAACATCCTTTAGGCATTTTCTTATCTAGGTCTACAGGTAATAAATTCTCTTACCTAATCTGAACAATGAGAGAAACAAGCCATCTGAGAATGACTTGATTTCCCCTTTACTCCTGAAGGGTAATTTTCCTGGACATTGAATTCCATGTTGACAGTTCTTTTTCAGTACTTGATAAATGTGCTACTGCCTTTTGGGCTTCATGGTTTCTGATGAGAAAGCGCTGTCATTTTTAAAAATATGTTTTTATTGATTTCAGAAAGAGGAAGGGAGAGGGAGCGGGAGAGAGAGATAGAAATATCAATGATGAAAGAGAATCATCCATCTGCTACCTCCTGCATGCCCCCTACTGGGTATCGAGCCCGCAACCCGGCATGCTCCCTGACCAGGAATTGAGCCATGACCTCCTAGTTCAGTTCACTGAGCAACACCAGCCAGCAAGCTACTGTCATTTGAATTATTTCTCCCTGATAGTTAAGGGGTTGTTTTTCTCTCTCTCTGTTTTCCAGATTTTTATTTTTTGGTCTTTCGTTTGCAGCGTTTTGATTATGAGGTGTCTTGGTGTGGATATCTTTCACCTTATTCCATTTGGGGTTTACTCAGCTTCTTGGATCTGTAGGTTTTATGTCTTTTGCCAAATTCGATAAATATCCACTCATTATGACTTTTGAGTACTTTTTTCAGCCCCACACTTTGTCCTCTCCTGTGGGACTCTGATGGCACAAATGCTAGGTCTTTTGTTATTGCTCCACAGGCTCTGTCTATAGCTCATGGATCTCTGAAGTGCTCCTCATTTTGTTTTGTTTTTCCCCTCGTTGTTCAGATTTTATCATTTAAATTGTTCCATCTTCAAGGTCACTGATTCTTTTCCTGTTATAGCTATTCTGCCGTTGAGCCCATCCAATGGGTTTTTAATTTTAGTTATATTTCTTTACTGAGACTTTCATTTCTTTTCTAAGTATGTTAGTAATTGCTTATCAAAGGTTTAGTAGCTGTAACAACACAAATAGGGGAGTTCTGTCGTTCGGAAATCTGAACCAGGTCTCACTGGGGTAAGATCAAGGGGACAGCAGAGCTGCACTCTTTTTGGGGCTTCAGGAGAGAGACTGTTTCCTTGTCTTTTTCACCTTCTAGAGCAGTGGTTCTCAACCTTCCTAATGCCACGACCCTTTAATACAGCTCCTCATGTTGTGGTGACCCCCAACCACAAAATTATTTTCGTTGCTGTTTCATAACTGTAATTCTGCTACTGTTATGAATCGTAATGTAAATATCTGATATGCAGGATGTATTTTCATTGTTACAAATTGAACATAATTAAAGCATAGTGATTAATCACAAAAACAATATGTAATTATATATGTGTTTTCCGATGGTCTTAGGCGACCCCTGTGAAAGGGTCGTTCAGCCCCAAAGGGGTCGCGACCCACAGGTTAAGAACCGCTGTTCTAGTGGCTGCCTGCATTCCTCCTTCATAGCATCTCTCTGAGCCCGGTTCTATTCTCACATCTTTTTCTGACTCTGTTTCTGCCTCCCTCTTTCACTTTTTACCTTGGGCCCTTCAAGATAATTCAGGGTAATTTTCTTATCTGCTAATTAGCAACCTTAATTCTACCTGCAATCTTAATTCCCCCTTGGCCTGCAACATTACATATACATAGGTTGTGGGGATTAGGGCAGGGACAGTTTTGAAGGGGCCATTATTCTGCCTACAGCAGCTGCTTAAAAACCTTTATCTGGTGTTGCTATTTAGTGATTGCCTTTTCTCATCCAAATTGTGATTTTCTTTGTGCAACAAATGATTTTTTTATTGTGTAATGAGACTCTGGGTCTTCTTTAAGTCTTCTATTTTAGCAGGCCTCCTCTGATACTGAGCCAGTGGGGGGAGGAGGCTGTGACCTCATTACTGTCAGATGGGGTGGGAACCCAGTTATCCCACTTGACCTCCACTAGTACCACTGGCTGGGAAGGGCAGAGGTGCCTCATTACTGTTCCCATGTGGCCTCCACTGACGTCCACTTCACTTCCAGTGCCACCAGAGGGAGGGGGCTCCTTAGCACCAGGAAGGGATGAAGCCCCACTTCTCTGACTGCCCTGCTAGGGGGTGTCTTGTTACAGCCTAGGCTCTCCAGTTGGTCAATGACTCAACTAAGTCATTGACGCTCCCGGCAGCAGGCATTTCATTAAGTATTGCTCTCATCACCCTCAACTTCCTCCTGGTTTCTGCTATAGGAGCAAATCCAGCCACAGACCTTAGAGGAGCGGGCTTCCTTGCCCTCCTGCATCTGCTCTACCTGGTGATGGACTCAAAGACCTTGCTGATGGCCCAGGAGATTTTCCGCCTGTCTCATCACCATATCCAGGTGGGCCTTTGGTGGGAAGCCAGCAGAGAGGGCTGTGGAGCTAGGACCTGGGCTCAGGGCTCTTTGAGCAGCCAGGCGGGCCTCCCAGGTAAATCTCTCATTGCTGAGGGCTCTTAGGACAACTGGGGCAAACCAGGATTGGTCTTTCCCTGTCAGTGCTGGGATCTGAGCTCTAGCACTCATTAGCATGCGTCTCAAGCATTGCCTCAATTCCCCAGAGCCTCAGTTTCCTCATCTGTAGAATGGAAATCATGGAAACTTCAGCAGGGTAGTCGGAAACACTAAAGGAGATAATGTACAAAAGCACTAAGTGACTCACCACCCTCCCAGGGAAGTCCCTGAGTCTGAAGGAAAAGAGTCGCCTTGTGTGCCCCAGAGAAGGTCTGCCTCTGAGGGTCAGGAGTTACTGACAGGCCAGAAGTGGCTTTTGCAGCCCTCAGTCTCTGCTCGGGTCTGCTCTCTGGGGTTGGGTTTGATGGTTTTCCCAGTTAGTAAAAGGCAGTAGGTAGTCCCTCCACTTTAGAAAATGAATTTGACCCGTTTCTTGCCATGCGTCTCTCAGATTTGTGGGCCCTGGAATTCACTCACTAAACAAATACTTATTCAGCCACCTCCTGTGCTAGTTACTTTTCTTGAAGCTTGAGATACATCAGTGAGCAAAACAAACAAAGATCCTTCCAGCAGAGAAGAAAGGACAGTGAGCATAATACATGCACTAATGATAGGACGTGTTAGAAGGTGATGCGTGTGCTAAGGAAAAGCCACAGGTGGGGTAAGGTTTGAAGAATGTGGGGAGGGGGTTGCAGTATTTTAGGGGATGGTCAAGGTAGCTCCCATGAGAGGGCAAGACCCAAACCAAGCCTTGAAGAGGTGAGGATGTTAGCCAAGCTGGTTTCTGGGGGAAGAGCATTCCACACAGAGGGAACAGCTACAGCACAGGTCCTGAGGAGGGAGTGTCTGCATGTGAAGGAATAGCAGGGGAGCTGGCTGGAGCGGAAGGAGGAAGGGAGGGCAGGAGGAAAGGAGGTCAGAGGGTAATAGGGACCAGATGGCGTAGTGCCTGGTAGGTACGATGAGGGCTTTTGATTTTACTCTAAGCAAAAAGAGGGTTTTCAGCAGCCTGGACTACACGGTCCAACTTGAAAGGTTTAAATGGATCCTACCAGGCGGAGAATAGTCTAGGGCAGCAATTTTTAACTGATATGCCACAAGAATTTTTTTATATATATATATTTTTTTATTGATTAAGATATTACATATGTGTCCTTGCCCCCACGTTACCCTCTACCCCCCACCCCCCCCCACCCCCGCTCATGCCCTCACCCCCCCGTTGTCCATGTCCATTGATTAGGCCTATATGCTTGCATATAAGTCCTTTGGTTGATCTTTCCCCCTTACCCCCACCCTCCCCTACCTTCTCTCCAAGTCCCGACAGTCCAATCAATGCCTCTCCGTCTCTGGATCAGTCCTTGTTCATCAGCTTATGTTGTTCATTATATTCCACAAATGAGTGAGATCCTGTGGTATTTATCCGCTCTCAAGTTCCATCCATGCTGTGGCAAATGGTAAGAGTTCCTTTTTCTTCTTCCTCTTCTTAAAGAATACCTTTCAGCATTTCATATAATGCTGGTTTGGTGGTGATGAACTCCTTTAGCTTTTTCTTATCCGTGAAGCTCTTTATCTGACCTTCTATTCTGAATGATAGCTTTGCTGGATAAAGTAATCTTGGTTGCAGGTTCTTGCTATTCATCACTTTGAATATTTCTTGCCAGTCTCTTCTGGCCTGCATGGTTTCTGTTGAGAAATCAGCTGACAGTCGTATGGGTACTCCCTTGTAGGTAACTGACTGTCTTTCTCTTGCTGCTTTTAAGATTCTCTCTTTATCTTTTGCTCTTGGCATTTTAATTATGATGTGTCTTGGTGTGGTCCTCCTTGGATTCCTTTTGTTTGGGGTTCTCTGCGCTTCCTGGACTTGTAAGTCCATTTCTTTCACCAGGTAGGGGAAGTTTTCTGTCATTATTTCTTCAAAAAGGTTTTCAATATCTTGCCCTCTCTCTCCTTCTGGTACCCCTATAATTCTGATGTTGGTACGCTTGAAGTTGTCCCAGAGGTTCCTTACACTATCTTCATATTTTTGGAATCTCTTTTCTTTTTTCTTTTTCGGTTGGGTATTTTTTGTTTCTTTGTATTTCAAATCTTTGACTTGATTCTTGGGATCCTCTTTTCTGCTGCTGGATCTCTGTAAATTATTCTTTATTTCAGTCAGTGTATGCTTAATTTCTAGTTGGTCCTTTTTCATGTCCTCCATGGTCTCCCTATACTTATTGAGGGATTCATTAAATTTATCGGCGGTTTCCATAAAATTCTTGAAAAACCTTATAACCGTGGCCTTAAACTCTATATCCAATCGTTTGCTTTCCTCCATTTCTGCCATTTGTGACCTGTTTCTTTGTCTCCGCATTTTGGCAGCTTCCCTGTGTTGACAGAGTGGCCCTGTGCGCCAGGTGTCCTGTAGGGCCCAGTAGCTCAGCCTCCCCAGTTACCTGGGGTGGACACTCTTAGTGCACTCTTGGTGCCTTGGTTGTTGTAGAATCACTGGGAGGAATTGACCTCCAGGCCAGTTGGCTGTGAGAATCAGCTGTGTCTAAAGTGGGAGAACTTCTGTGCTGAAGACACCCTTCTGGGGCAAGACTTGCTTCAGTGGGGCTTTGGTGCTGCTCACTGAGTCTGCTCCCTGAGTGCGTCCCTTATGGATCTGAGGAGTTGCAGTCTGGATGGACCCCCTCTGACCACTGGGTACAGTGGCTCCTGGATCTAAGGAGGTGCTAATTCAGCCTCTGCCTGAGGCCACACAGCAGGAGCCACGAAGAGGCTCAGCTGTGAAGCAATGCAAGCCGCTGCGGGGCCTTGGGCCTTCTCTTGGAAGTTCCAGGTCTGCCTGGTTCGGCTGCAGTTAGGTACATTCACATGCAGAAGCCTCTGCCGCAGCCTGGGTGGGGCGGGGTCTCAGGGAGTCAGAGGGCGGAGAAAGCAGCCATGGCCGATTCTCCGCCCGGAGTCGCGCGTCTCAGTGTTCCGGTAACGGCTGCAAGCACCTCTGAGGGAAAGCCGCCCTCAAGTTCGCTCGCTGCCGGACAGACCAGCTTCTCCCCGTGTGAGACCTGGGTCCCCAGAGACTTCCCGGAACCGGAGTTCAGAGCCGTCAGGAGCTTGTGACTCAAAAAGTCAGCCGCGTCCTCAGGTGCTACCCCCTTTCCTTGCGCGCGCGCGCGCGCGCCGCCGTACCTCTGCACTTCACCTCCGCAGCGCCTCTGGCTCTCAGCGTGCTTTTCTTTCCTTCTAGTTGTGGAATTTACACTCAGCCAGCCTTCCTGTTGTTCTGGATGATGTTTGCTCAGTCCTTTGCGGTAATTTTCAATTGTTGTGTGAGGCGATAATTTCCCGGTGTTTACCTATGCCGCCATCTTAGTTGCCCCCCGCCACAAGAATTTTTAAAACATGTCATACCTATTTAGTCAGGGGCACTGACTCTTTTTCCTTAGGTTCTCAAAAAAAAAAAAAAATGACAACAGCCAACACAACAATAGCCATTTGGTGTGAATAAATCAAAACTATACCTTTGTCAGATCGGCAAACAGTGCAGTAATATATTTTTTGGTGTGCTGCAGAATTTTAGTAATTAGTTTATGTGTGCCACAAGATGAAGAGGTTGAAAATCTCTGGTCTAGGGCTTTACAATCAAGTTGTAGATGATGGTGGTGTGGAGGGTCTTCTCAGACGAGGTGGAGTGAAGTGTTCAGATGCCGGATATAGAATCTTTTTTTAATTAAATCTTTATTGCTCAGATTATTACAGTTGTTCCTCTTTTTTTCCCCCATAGCTCCCCTCCACCCGGTTCCCACCCCACCCTCTGCCCTTACCCCCCACCCCCGCCACTGTCCTCATCCACAGGTGTATGATTTTTGTCCAGTCTCTTCCCGCACCCCTCACATTCCTTTCCCCGCCGAGAATAGTCAGTCCACTCCCTTTCTATGCCCCTGATTCTGTTATATTCACCAGTTTATTCTGTTCATCAGACTTTTTTATTCACTTGATTTTTAGATTCACTTGTTGATAGATATGTACTTGTTCATAATTTTTATCTTTACGTTTTTCTTCTTCTTCCTCTTCTTAAAGAATACCTTTCAGAATTTCATATAATCCTGGTTTGGTGGTGATGAATTCCTTTAGCTTTTCCTTATCTGTGAAGCTCTTTATCTGACCTTCAATTCTGAATGATAGCTTTGCTGGGTAAAGTAATCTTGGTTGTAGGTTCTTGGTATTCATCACTTTGAAAATTTCTTGCCACTCCCTTCTGGCCTGCATAGTTTTTGTTGAGAAATCAGCTGACAGTCGTATGGGTACTCCCTTGTAGGTAACTGACTTTTTTTCTCTTGCTGCTTTTAAGATTCTCTTTGTCTTTTGCTCTTGGCATTTTAATTATGATGTGTCTTGGTGTAGTCCTCTTTGGATTTCTTTTGTTTGGGGTTCTCTATGATTCCTGGACTTGTAAGTCTATTTCTTTCACCAGGTAAGGGAAGTTTTCTGTCATTATTTCTTCAAATAGGTTTTCAATATCTTGTTCTCTCTTTTCTTCTGGCACCCCCATAATTCGGATGTTGGTACGCTTGAAGTTGTCCCAGAGGTTCCTTACACTATCTTCATATTTTTGGATTCTTTTTTCTTTTTGCTTTTCCGGTTGGGTATTTTTTGCTTCTTTGTATTTCAAGTCTTTGACTTGATTCTTGCGATCCTCTAGTCTGCTGTTGGATCTCTGTATAATATTCTTTATTTCAGTCAGTGTATGCTTAATTTCTACTTGGTCCTTTTTCATAACCTCGAGGGTCTCACTAGATTTCTTGAGGGTCTTACTAAATTTATCGGCAGTTTCTAGAAAATTCTTGAAAAACCTTATAAGTGTGGTTTTGAACTCTATATCCAGTAGTTTGCTTTCCTCCATT